AAAGAGGAGAATTAAATAAAATATATAATACAATTGAGACATCCACATCAATCCCATGTCATGATGGTACGTAGCAGATTAGCACATGCAGGACATCCCAAAGAACATCAATCGGTACAAAAAAATTTCAACTATTAGTGCTAAAAGGATTTTTTTGTTGTTTTTTTATACCTAAGTTTGAGTATCATAAATGTAAAGAATATAAAATTTTAATGTCAAATGATTAAGAATTGTATTTAAATAAATAATATATTGTATTTATCCTAATTTTTTAATATATATATATATATTATTGTTTTATAAATATATTAATTTTTTTTAAAAAAATATTTCTATTTCAAAAAGAATATAAACACGACATGCATCAGATAAAAGTTTTTCCAAATGGTCCTTATAATGCATGCACTTTAAAGAATAACGTCGAAAATGTTAGACACATACTTTGAGTGAAAAAAAATTAGCCACCTAAAGTTTAGTTTGAATAATTATTTTTATATTAAGCTTTAATTATATTTACTTTTGAGATCTTGGGATGAGGTGTTAAAAGATATTTAAGTGTATGAGTTTTTTTAATAAGTTTAATTAAAAATAAATGTTTAAATTATATTTTATTATTATTATTTAGGTGGTCTTAAATTTTCAAAAAAAAATATTTCAGTCTTCAATTTTTTTAAAATTATTTTTTAATCAATAAGTCGTTAAATCATACCGATGTGATGACATGTATCTTTCTCGTCTTTTTTTAATAGAAAACCCCTAACTCTTTCAATTATAATTGTTGATCAATTGACGATCGTCATTGGTCACCATTTGCGATAAGGTTGATATTGAAATATTTGTATTTTCCTTAATCCTCAAATTGATTTTTCACAAAACTCATTTAAAATCGAAAAAATTTCATATAAAGATTCAACTTTCTAATGCTTTGACATCCTCCCGTAGTCATCCGATTAGGCTAGTTTTGAGGTATGTTGTTTATATTCTCATAATAATGTTTCTTACTATTAGAATTTTTTAACAAACATCCATCAAATCTGTGAAAGTCCCAAACAAAATAAAAATAAAAATAAAGGTTTATTGTGTTTAGAATTGTAGACAATAATAAGATGAGTTTGTCAATAATTAGAGTGACTACAAAAAATATCAGATAACGACAATATGACAATTAAAATTAAATAAAAAACTTCTATTTTGATAAAAAAAATAACGTGGTGAAAAAAAGAAAGAAAATGTCATGTTAGCACAAAATAAAAATAAAAACTTTTTTTTAACTTCCATGTTACTATGTTAGTATAAAAATACCGCGTCATTTGGCTGATGCTGATTGAATAATCCAATGACAAAAGTTTTAGTAGAAAAAAATTAAAATATATAGTTTAATAACCAAAAATAGACAAATTATGAAAATTAATAATTAATGGGTGTAATTTCTCTATATTTTATATCCTGGTTTTTAGATATCTTATAATGTATCCTAATTTCCCGCTTCACGCTAAACAATAAACAAAGAGTTCCATTGTTTCCAACAACAACAACAACAACAATTTCGGGGCTCCACATTTTGAAATGAATAACATGTAGAAGGGATATTCTAGTTTGAAAAATAAGCATTAGATTCAGAGATATGAACAAACATATGTTTGTGTGGCATAATTTATAGTTTCTCTTATAAGAAAATATGATAAAATAATTTGAGATCAATCTTAAAATCTAGGGTTAAGTATATAGATAGTATCCCGATAATAGGATTTTGTTTTATTGAGTCATCCGACTATTAAAAGTTATAATGATCTCCTGACTATAGATAATTATTTTGTTGAGTCTCTTGACTATTAAAAGTTATAAAATTGTTTTCATAAACCGTCTGAGTTGGATGTTAACATGATGATTGAAATATGATTAAATCATATTTTAATAATATTTACTGGCACGATCGTTGCTTTCAAGCACTAACTCGACTACATTTTTTAATATATATATAGACACACGTACGTGGTTACTGTTTATGTTGATAAATTCAATTTCATGTTTAAAAGTTTGTCCGGTTTTAAACGATAATTTATTTCATTATTTGATATTAATAAAATATTAAAATACTTATTCATATTAAATTTAAAATATTATTGATCATAAGAGTTAAATTTAAATAAATATTATCAATTATTATTTGATTTAGTAATATATATTTATTAGATTTGATCAGGATTAAATATTCAGATAAGATAACTAAAATCTGAAAAACACTCAAGTGAAAATATTCCACGCCCCAACCTACACAGGTCCACCTATATATATAAACAAATGAAACTAATAAATATGTAGGGAACACGTGTGTGCAAAATCGCCTGGTAAATGAAACATATAATTAGTATATGAACCCTAAAATGAAATAATTGGTATCTATAATTTCAGTGACTCGATTTTACCCTCCAACAAACAGAACAAATGGAATAGAAAACAACGGGGTACAAGTGTAAATATGTTTTCAACTTTGTGAACATCATATACACAGATATCCCATGCAACTTCCACGAAGTAGGGTCTTCACAGTTAACTTCATGCCAACCTACTTGAAAGGTGCAAGAAGCTCACTATTTCACCATATATATCAACTTTATCTTATTATTGGTACATTTAGTTATCTTCAAGGTAGTAATATAATCAGAAAATTTAAATTACGATATCAAAATTTAAAAAAATATATAATCTTCTAAATAAATAGAACCAAATCATACATGTTGAATCATTTAAATATGCTTATAATGATGGAAGGTTGACATCTAAGATTTTATTATGAATACTCACGCAACACACTGTTATCTGATCACAACTAAACAAACATCCAATCACTCTAAGGCTTCAATAAAATTAAATATATTTTTTATGTCGTCATTAATTGAAAAAAAAGACTGGATTTCGTAATCATTTAACCTTATATTCGAACATCTCATTTACAATAAGATATGAATAGTTTTTTTTTAAGATTTTCCTTAAAAATATACAATTTTCATATTTTGGTAATAATTATCAGAGATCCCTTAACTTTTTCAAAGACATAAGTCTATATAAAATTCATACAAAACGCTATGGACTTTATGGTGTTTCAATTGTGTCAAAAATTCAACTAAATTACTGAGGGCATAATTATAAAAGATAAAAGTTCATCTTAACCAATTCATAATAGATTTTACAAAGATTATATTATCATAGAATGAGAACATATAACTCAATTTAATTCGATTTTATACATAAAGTTTCAATTTCACATAACACATGACCATCTCATAATCAAAACATAATATAAAATATTTAAAATTATCATAACATTGTAACAACTTATTAAAATTACCAAATCATTAAAATTGGCATACAAAATTATCTATGTGAGTTAAAGTATATAATTTATCATACACGTAACAACTTTTAATGCTAACATAGTTATTTGACATGACCACTAATTAAGGTTAATGGGTTAATCACACATTTCTCCCTTGTTTCCACATAGGTATTAAAACTTATAATGTTCACACTTTAGTTCCTGAACTTTCAATCTTTACAATGTAATCCTTAATCATAAACTGAATCAAATCATAATTTACCCTAATCAAACTATTTCCACAGGCATCATTTAAATGTTTAAAACAATCAAATAAACTCTAAGAAATTACTTTTACACCATCGCATATCGAAAAAATTACGGATCAATTTTCGCGGGTTACATAAAGGATGAGAACTCACAATTTCGACAATGAATGAGAGGGTGAATATGATGATGTAAAATCTTTTCATCCACATGAGAGAGAGCGATGATAAGGTTTAGGTCTAATTATAGGGCTTTTTGTTGACTCGGGACGTTTCTGAAGTGAATGATTGTGTGGGTTTTGATACGGTGAATAGTCAGTGGCAAGCCAAGATATTTTTTTGAGGTGGGCATATATAACATACGATGAAATATAGGCTTTTAACCCGGGGAAAGAAACACGGGGAGATGGGGAAAAGGCGCCAGCTACACGTATAATAGATCTAGGGAAATTTGCTTCCAAAATCTGAAACGGATTATATACCAAATAAGTCCTTGATTTTTGGCAGTTTTGAAAATAGACATATCGTTAAAAGTTCGCATTCTCGATGAAAGTTTATTCACAAACACAATCACACATCTTCTCCTTTGGTCCTGCATCTTCTCGTTAGGCGGTGGAATTGGGAGTTTCCTATCAGGCATGAGTTAATTGCATTCAGATGCTTTTATATGAATTTGAGTTATTAGTAAATAAATTGCTCGTCTAGCTCAGTTGGTAGAGCGCAAGGCTTTTAACATTGTGCTCGTGGGATCAAGTCCCACTGAGGGCAATTCATAACGGAGGTCTTTCACGGAAGCTGCTCTCAACCTTGCGTTGAGGGCATCCTACTATCCTACCTCCCTCTTATCCCATTACATATGAGAATAGGGTCAACTAATTTGAGTTATTAGTAAATGATTGGTAACATGTTAGGATCTTATGGGATGTCTATAGAATGAGTTTAATAAGAAACACAATTACATTAACCAGCATTTAGACAAATTACAACATTCATAAATCTATACATATGAACCAATTAAGCAATTTTGGTAATTTAAAATAATATTATTAGTCTTCTTAGAGGTATCAAGTTCGATCAGTTGCGTCTACAAAATATGTATGCATTATCAATGACTAAAAAGTATTATGAACATATACTACCTTATAAATACTTGTACTATTAGAAAAACTATACATAAACATATAACTATATACATTTATGATTATCCACACAGACAACAAATCATGTATATATTGCAACACGTGGTGAACTGGTATAAGACCATGCAAAGAGTTGAAACTTATTTATTACTTTGATAAAAGTGAATTGTCTATTTCTCGATGAATTTCTTCTTTCATTTTCAACTCCATAAATTTACTCCATCGAGGATTACATTAGCTTTACTCCAACTCAAAAAATAGGAAACCCTATCACGACATTGAGATAGAGCTCCCTTTTTGAATGGAAATGGTGTGGACATTGCGGTTGATTTCGAAGACTACTTTCCGTCGATGGTGGAGCGAATGGGGGCGGAAGGGTTCATAACGGAGCTTTGCAACGGGTTCAGGCTGCTGATGGATGGCGAGAGAGGGGTGATTACGTTCGAGAGCTTGAAGAAGAACAGCGTGGCGCTGGGATTGGATGATTTGAGAGATGATGAGATTGTATGCATGTTGAGTGAAGGTGATTTGGATGGCGATGGGGCTCTAAACCAGGTTGAGTTTTGTACTCTTATGTTTAGGTTAAGCCCTGGGTTAATGGATAACAATGGATCCAGGCAATGGGTTGAAGAATATGGTGTTATTTGAAAAAAATTAAGGCAATAAAAATATTTTTAAATTGCAACTTTTATTTCTTTCATCTAAATTAGTTTAAACTTAGCTTCTGGTTCATTGCTTAAAATTAGCTTATTCTCTCTCTCTCTCTCTCTTGTTTTAAAATTCTTTTTTATTTAATTTAATGTTTTCATTCTTATTAGGAATTTGGAATTCAAAACTTTATATATTTTGAACCATTGTTATTGTAATTATTATGATGGACTATGGGATGCATAATTTGATGATGGGTTGTTGAAATTTAAGATCTTTGCATTGTTATATTAGCTTGTACTACTTTTTAATTAAAACCCCATTAAGTTGGAGTTCTAAACTAGAAAAGAAATTCCCTAGGTTCATGTTTTAATCATATTTACAATTTAGTCAAATATTTAAATGCAATTAATGGTTATCCTTGAAAAATGTAGGATTTTTTTTAAAAAAATTAATCACTAGTATTCAGTTTGTTGATCGATTAATCTAAATCAGAATTTATAAAAATTCATAACGAGGACAACTCTCTCAACTCCGTTTACTCCATTCGTAAATAGCAAGTTAAAAAATATAATTTTAACTCGTAGATTGGATTACTAATCTAGTTTTGAAGATAAACTAGGTAATTGATGATTACTCTTTGAACCCAAACAATAATTTATAGCATATAACATTTTGTAGGCTTCTTGACAAGGTTGGGGCGTATTCTCGAAGAAGTTTTACTTGAATTATTTTAACCATATGTGTTTAAAAATATAAAGATCCTAACTTTTTCTCTTGATAAAATATAAATATCCTAACTTAAAGTTGGGATAAGAAATGAATCATAAGATTAAAATTCAATTTTCAGATATATTAAACGTCACCTCATAATAATGATTTTACGAATGAATTAAGTTAGATGTTCCATAAGATTAATGTATTTAATCTCTAACTAGACCTAGCATTATTAAATACGATATAAAAATACGATATAAATACATAAATGATCGATTCTACTCCTACCACCAAAATATTTCATTTTCTCCCCATGCAAGTGGGGATATAAAATTGGATAGTACATGCATGGTGTTATTGATAGTACCCAAATTTCCCAAGTTTTTGCCCCTTTAATTGCAAAGAGTTGAATTTTATTTATTTATTGGTTAAGGTGAATTTGTCTATATCTCATTAAATTTCATCTTTCATTTTCAATATCACAAATTCCTGAGATTGAACATTTTTATGTGTTCGACTTGTAACTATCAAAGGAGTCACCTTTAAGATAATAACAAAAATGATATTCTCCCCTCTCACTGACCTCTTAAAACCAACTAATTTATTCAATCATATAACAAATTTTAAAAATAAAAAATCAACTTGTGTTAAAAACATTTATTAACAGACTAGATAAATATAAAAAAAATCAAAATTTTATTATTTTTTTAATAATTTAGAGGGATTATAATAGTTATTACTTATTCATAATTTTTTAAATTTATTGACAACACACACTCCTACACATGCTACAGCTCGAAATTAAAACCATTAAAAAAATAACATTTTTCGTATACCACTAAAAACACTCAATAAATTCAATTTTTCGTTATTATAACAAATAATCCAAACTAAAATAATATAGCTACGGCCACAACCAAAAATAAAAGTAATAATTGTGGGGCTCACTTTACATCACTGTTTCAAGTGTCCAACATTTCTTTGCATTTAAATAGCAAACTATATCCTAATGAACCCACCCTCCCTCCTCTCCCTTCTCCATACGTTTCCTTCGATCTTTCAGAATATTTTGTTTACCTAACTATTAACAATGATGTTGACGTGTTACCATAAGATAATGCCATATCAGCATTGAAAATAATTTTAAAAATATCAGATCAGTATCAATGATAATTTTTTAATGATGGATGACCAAAATAGAATCAAAACATAATATTAGATATGATTTTAAAAAAATAATAATTAAATAACCTAAACAGAAATATAGTAATAGGTGGATGACCAAATAAGTTAATTTACCCAGACAAGCCCTGCTGAAAAGCGTACGGCGTTGACATATTTACTTTAAGCATGCCCACATCATCGAATGCCTCTGAATTTTACAATTTCAAATTATAAATCTACTGTATGTAAAAACAATTATAAATCTACTAAAAATGAAAATAAAATCTGACAAATGACTATAAAATTATATTTTATACACTTTCAATGTATATGTTTAATGGTTAATGTGTTATTTATTTATTTATTTATTATTATTTAATAAAATTTAATTTACATAATTTATGAGTGGGTTATAATAATATAAATAATAGTGATTTATGATTTTTTTATAAATAATATAAGTTGATTATAAGGTAACATATATTTATAATTTTCTTAATCTATTGACAATTCGTATGTACCCTACATACAAAGTTGTTTAAATTTTTAGACTTTTATAACAATTATCATTTATCTTTATTACTAAGATCATTTGATAAGATCAACGACGATTCATGTTTTAAATATAAACTCAAATGAACAAAGTATTTGTTTATCATGTAATGATTCATTAACAAATATTTTGCCTTGGTGAGTGTTGTTCCTCGGCTTTTTGAAAAAATAGCCCACTAATCCATTATTGCCCATACATATCAAGATTTGAAACATTTGTCACATGCTGTCATTATTGATAGGATAAAGTGAAATATTTATAAAGTATTAAGAAATCTATTATTGCAAAATAAATATATTAACAATAAGTATTAATAATATAAATATTAACAATTCACCATAATTTAGGATCATACTATCATTAGCAACAAACTAAAGGACTAAATTGCAAAAAGTTAAATGTTCTAATTGTTAATATCCATATTGTACTTCATATGATATTGAAAATGTCTTAGAACAATATCAATATTAGAATAATGATATTGATATTAAATTATTTTTCCAACTTCAAAGTTCGATTTTATATCGTTTCCTTCACATATTATCAACAAAATACAAGTATAGTATTGATATTGATGGATGGCACCAATACCCTTTAAGAGTTATAATAAAATTTGGATATCTCTAATCAATATCGATACTCAAGTAACAAATGATATTTAAGTCTAGAAATTTAATAGGTTGTGTCAGTCTGTTAGATCACGAATGTAATGGGTAGTGTTGACAAACTTTCTCGTGTAGTCTCATATGAACTCACCCTGTTTTTAGACCACATTAAGGAGGCTGTACGACGAGTTGTAGATTGTTTTGTTGGTCAATTCTTGAGCAACAAACATCTATGACAACTGCTTGAAGTATGTTATGGTTATCACGGGCATAGAGTCATGCCAGTTCTTCGCTCCCCTACAAAAAGTGGTCGAGAAGCCTTGCAGTTTAATTCATCGAAGGCCCCCATAATATCCATACAATTCATGTATTGACATGAGTGGTATGTAAGATCTCCAGTTCTATCATAGACCTTAGGCAACTTGAAATTTGAGGGATAAGAAGTGACAAGTACATATGGCATGAAAGGGCTGTGCTTCTCCGTAAACCAATAAGCTCTAGTATTACTCGAGATTCTGAAGTTGTCAAATTGCTTCCTCATGGTTTGCATATGCTTTTTACATTCTTCTCGGCATGAAATTTAACATGCGTCCACAATAGAAGAATGATTCAATTCACGTGGCTAGTAGCGACCCTCGCAATGGACTCTATTCCTCCACGTGGGACACATATGGAGAATCAGCCACGTCATCATCCTAATCTTCTCCTGTTGTTGTTGAAGATTAATATCTTCAAGCAAGGAATAAATGGCCCATCTACCATTGTCTTCCACGTGGCACCCAACCTACGCCCTCTTTTACTCATGCCAGCCAAACAACACCACGTTCAATTTTATGTTTTTTAATGGGGTAAACTATAGTATTTAGTTTTTCCCTTAAAATACGTGTTTAATGTGTCATTTGTAATTATTTTTAGATCATCCATTAAAGAAAAATGTTATCTCTATTTTTTCCAACTTGTCATTGCAAGTAAAATTTAAGTGTTTTGAAATTAATTTCTAAAAGTTAAACTCTTGATTTAACTTTCGTATTAAAAATAAAATAAAATAAAACAAAAATTTATAGATAAAAATTGATGCATTAAAAGTAGATAAATTCTCAAAATTAGAATGTTGGAGACTTATGATTATTTGATTTAAAAAAAATAAATTAAAATTTAAAAAAATTCATAAATTTTTCTATTTGTTTTCGTAAAAGGCTAAAGAGATAAAAGAAAGAAGACGGCTGAAACATATCACATATCCATTGGATACATTTTTTATAAATAAAATAAAAATATTACCAAAAAACATTAAGTATTTTTTTATAAAATATAAACATATAAAATAGAACACATATATAATTTAAACACGCATGTAACGTTAAAAACATTTTTGACAAATAAAAAGTAATTTTAAATTAAATATTTTAATAAATAAGAAAACAAACCAGAACTCTAATTACATCTTGAAAAATAAAATAACAAAACTACCCTTAACCAAACTCTTTACAAACTAGAACTTCAAATTATCTTGGTAAATTAGATTTAGGGGTACGAGAGTTGCTCTTCGTACTTCTCTTTATTTATCCAAACACTTCAAAAAAGTTATCGGAAAAGAAAAAGAAAATGAAGAAGTGTGAAGTATGTGGAGAGTTAGCTCGGATGCACTGTGAATCAGATGAAGCCAACTTATGTTGGGATTGCGATTTGAAGGTCCATGGAGCCAACTTCCTTGTTGCTAAGCACACTCGAACCCTCCTTTGTCATCTCTGTCAAAATCCTACTCCTTGGCTCGCATCAGGTCGCAATATCGGCCCCGCCTTCACTGTTTGCGATTCCTGCGTCGAAAACAGCAATATTGAACCTGAAGTGATGGCGGAAGAGTCATCCGAGGGAGAGTACGGTGAAGAAGAGGAAGACGACGATTACGATGATGAGGCACCGGAAGAGGAGGTTGAAGATACTGCTGACAATCAGGTGGTTCCGCGGTCAGGCGACTCTTCTTCTCTGTCAATGTCGAAGCCGGCGGCTAGCTTGGAGTGTAATAGTGAAGGTGTCGTTATTGGCAGTGGGATCGGGTTGAAGAGGAGGAGAGAAAATCAAAGTTTCTGCTATGATGTATGTTGAATTTTATTTATTTTAGTTTCTTTTTCAAGATTTAAATTGTTTTACATTCTTTTTTTTTTGGAAAAAAGAATCTCCTTCTCCGAGTAATTGACAGAGGCATGTTGAATGTTTTTCTTTATTTACCCCTCTTAATATTTGATGGTTCAAATAAATATATTATACAATCAAATTTTCTTGGTATTTTGATTTTTCGTCATGTATTTTCTTGGCATCCAAGCAGACGAGTGAATATTTTTTTGGTTGCAAATGCAGGGTGAAATCGGGTCCTCATCTCTCTTAGGCTCAGGAGGTTCATCCAATGGAGAAACATCATCTATGGGGATCATCAAGATTATTACTGAAGCAACCAACATTAACTGAAGTTAATCAATAAGGTAGAAATAAAGATGAGGGTGAAACAAAGTTTATCATCAGCTATTTCAAAAGACTTCTGTAGACACATAATTTCGTCTTCACACTTTTATAGTACTTACATATATATATTAGTATTACTCCACACTTTTATAATATTTACATATATATATTAGTATTAATTTTATTTATTTCTTGCATATTACAAGACCAAAATTAGGTTACAAGACCAATCTGCTGGCCCAACAGTGGACCAAGTCCAGTACACGTGACCCACTGGGAGTTAGGGTTCCCAGAACCCTAGCAGTTTCCCCATCCAGCGCCGCATCACCAAGATTCCAGGGCTATCACGTCGCTCCAAGACCCCCATCATCGCACGTCTCGCCTCCAAACGGCCGGAACTCTCGGCCACGCAAAGAAACAAGCAACAACAACCAACATCAGTGTTTTACTCTAATTTAAACTCTAAAAATAGCCATTTTTGGGCTATAAATATTATGTAAAGCACACAAGTTTAGGATTACGAAAAATACACAAAATAAAGATACTAGGCACGAGCACACAAAGAGAGATCGTGAGAGTCACAAAACTCAGAAGGTTGTAAAAGCATTCGAAGCATTTTTCTTGAAAAGAAATAAAGGGTATTTTTCTTGGTCTTTTACCTTTGTTTTTGATTCGGTTCCCTTGCACTGCTTGCATGTTGTTGTTGTTGAGTCTCCTTTGAACCATCAAGAAAAACCATTTGGCCGATGAACTCTTAGGGGAAGGATCGAGACTTTGATCTCAGTTCTACCCTCCCCCGAGGCCTATTTCGAAAAACCAGTTTAAGATTTGGGTTGAAGGCAAGAAGAGCTTTCGAAAAAAGCTTACCTTTTCGTGTTTGGCCGCCGATGAACGACGGCCGCCGCGATCAGCGGTGGTGGCAAGGCAGCTTGAGGCGGCGCAGGCCGTTTTCTGGAAATGAACGGTGGTGTGTTCATCAGTTGGATGAACAAAAGAGAGAGTCTGAGTGAGGGAGGGGAGCCTTCGACGAGAGAAGAAGAGAGAAATGAAATTTCAAAAAATATTTGAGTCATATAGTTAGCCCAGCGGACCAAACTGGCCCGACCCGTTATATCAGATCCGCGTGTTTTGCTAAAAGGGGTAAACTTCATTTTGGCTCCCTCTGTTTTGAAAAACATTCAATTTGGTCCCCAAATCGGTTGGGTAAACTTCATTTTGGCTCCCTCTGTTTTAAAAAACATTTAATTTGGTCCCCAAATCGGTTTAATTCCCTTGGTTATTTTCTAATTCTGCCATCTAACTTTATTTTGTTTCATTTTACCCCTTTATACTTATATATATTTTATTATATCTCATATTTACTCTTTTATACATAGATATTTGGATTTTTATTTATTTACACTATATTATATTATATTCCTATTAGTTTATATATATACATTACTTATTTTTCTTTTATTACATGCTATTTATTATATATATATTACTCATATTTGCTTTTTTTTATTTTCTTTGTTTTTATATTTTTTATTCATGTATATTTTTATTTACCTATCTATTTATATTTTTATATTTTTTTTTCTTTATTTGAATTTTCGTATTTTTCCTTGTAAATTTTATTCATATTTCATTCCTAATTCTTGTGTACATTATACTTTCTTTATTTCGTTTGTTCGCCTTATTTTTATATTCTAATTTTATTATTTTTATTATCTAACCATTTTCTCAGTTTTTTAAGGATGTTTTCAAAACAATCAGAAGTAAGTAATTCAGGATCAAATTTTACCTTTTTAATTTAAAATTGCTATTTTATTAAATCATGACAACTGGAAATTACGTAGTACCGAAAGGGCGGTTCAAGGGTGCTAATCCTTCCTTGACCGTAACCGACTCCCGAACTCGACACATTTCTGAAAAAACGCAGATCAGGTAAGATGGTGTCCGACCCACCTAAATTCGTTTTAAAATGGTCGGTGGCGACTCCAACCCAATTATTTCAAGTCGAAACCCAATTCCGGGCCCAACCGAAAGACGGTTCCGACAGCTTGGCGACTCCGCTGGGGACACAGGTAAGTGAGTCAGGCTAAGGTAATTTCCAGTTGTCTTTTTAATGAAAAAGGTAAGTTTGAACTTTAAGGTAACATTTCGATCCTTATTACTTACTTTTGGTTATATTTTTTCGAGTAAATAGTTGGACTGACCGTTTTCTAATGATTTCAGTTTTCCAAACTTTTTCATCCAAAGGCTCTATACCCGAGCTCCGAACCCTTTAAGTGGGGGTGAAAGCGACGCATTCGTGTGAATTTATTCACCGCATATGCCTAGCAAGTAGCCTTCGGGATTCATACACCTTATGTCTTCGTGTGAATTTATTCTCCGCATAGACATAAGGGAATGTGTCCCCTCGAGTTTAACTTAGTCCACATAAGCCTGTGATGGGTTTAGGACTAAGGGTCTGGTAAGCCCAAGGGGGCACCAGCAAGGAGAACTCGGGTACCGTGTTTTAGAACCTAAACCAGGAGACTTCGAAGAAATAGAGCCTACCCCAAAACCACATTCCAAAACCTAGGACAATTGTTTCCTAACCATTTGTTTTTTCTTATGTTTTTATTGCCATTTATTTCTTGTTATTTTTATTTATTTCCATTTATTTTTATTTTATTAACCATTTGCCTTTGTGTTTGTTTTTAGCATTTGCATCATAACAAGAGGCCATTGATCCCTAAAAAGACGTTCATTACGCACAAAATAATCTGAATTAATGGATAAAGGTGTTGTAATACAAGAGATTAAAAACCCTGAGGTACGACTATGGTCCGAGAAGACTCAGAAGGAAAAGGGAGACAGTCTTCAAGACAGCTATGTGTCAGAGCTGGTTAGCTACGCCTCGATCAGCCTAAAGCAGAATGACGTACAAGAGCTCCGGGATATTTGGGACAGTTGGAAGAATGAGGTGAAACAGAAGTTCAGCCAACGGTACGGTGATGTTGCACTTTTGCTTCATGTTAAGATTGATGAGCCCTTAATTAGAGCCTTGGTTCAATTCTGGAATCCGGGATACAGTTGCTTCACCTTTAACCGGGAAGACATGGTGCTCACCATAGAAGAGTACACTACACTGCTGCATTGTGAAAACATCAAACTCGAACGGGCCTACCTTAAGCACATTAAAAGTCAACCTTTCAAAATACACTAGCTAAGGTTGCCGGAGTTGATGAAAAATGGGTAACTGACCGAGCTCGATGTAAGGGTAGTGGAGAAGGAATCGCTTGGCTTCATATCAAACAACTAATGAAGCACCATCCTGATGAGTGGAAGACAATAGACCTGTTTGCATTAGGTCTGTATGGTCTAATTTTATTCCCAAAGACCTTGGGATACATCGATGCCACCGTAGTAGAGCTATTCGAACAACTCTCGAGAAGAGTCAATCCAGCACCAGCCATCTTGGCTGAGACCTTTCGATCTCTCAATCATTGCCGAAGAACTGGCGGAGGAAGATTCACCGGGTGCATTTAGCTCCTTCAAGTCTGGATTCACAGCCACTTCTGGAAGACTGACGGGGTTGCCTACCGCCGTTTCAGCACCACCTATTCACCTCTAGGTGAATTTATTACCTTAAAATGGCATGAAGGCGCCTCGAAAGAAAAATGGATGAAGGTCTTTACGCATCTTCAAGACCGAGATATTGTTTGGAGAGCCCCTTGGTTATTCCTCAGTGATGTTCTTTTTCGATGTGGTGACTCCGACACTGTGACCTTACTTGGACTTTGGGGAGCAGTCAGGTATGCTCCGCTATTAGCACTTAGACAATATGGAGCACGTCAGTTTGTCCCAGCAACATGCGGGTTAGCTAGGTCAGAGTTTGAGTATCACGGCGACAGCTATAAGAGATGATCAAAGAAGTAGCCGATTCGTGGAGGAAAGTATTCCGGATGGATGTTGTAGCTGCCAGAAGTATGCTCACTCCGGATTATGTGGAGTGGCGAAGATTGAGAAAGAATGACAATATCCCTGTGCCAGACTGTGATGACACCCGGACCATGGAGGAACATCTCAGGCACGTCCCTTCTGAACTCGAGATAGCCAAGACCGAGTTTGAAGCCGTGAATAATGAGCTGAAGCAAAGGATAAAGGAACTTGAAGCTGAACGTTATCAGTGGAAGCTTGATGCTGACTCTCAGAAAGATCGGGCAGAAAAACTGGAAAAGAACAAAAAAGAGTCCGTTTTGAGCTCGAAGACTTGAGAAAGGGGTATCAAGATAAGGTCAAGGATAACTCCAAGTTGAAGGTAACCTCTGAATACTGGAAAGACGAAGCTCATAGCCTGAAAAGGAAGTTCGAGGGGCCTGATGAGAGAGCTTGGAAAGAACAAACAAAGACTGCCCAAATACGCTTGGCAGATAGTCAATATCAGAACCAACGCTTGAGAGTTCGGGTAGCTGACTTAGAGAAACAGCATGAGAAAGATGGCAAGACGATAGCTGAGTTAGAAGCTATTATAGATGGGTTCAACAGGCAAGCAAACGAGCTTCAGATGGTGCCCTTCGACGGAGGACTACAATGGCGTTTCCGTTGGGAACAAGCACAACGAAGGGTGAGGGCCCGAGACGCAACCATCCGAGATTTCCTGGATCAAGTGCAAAAAGCAGCCCGTCATCTTCACGGCCTAGCAAGGGAAGCTAGTGTGGTTCGACAAGGCATTCAACCAGTGACAGATGAAGGCAGAAGACTTGTCAACCTACTGGAAGCTGTTCGGGGTCTAGAGGATTTAGTCCGAATGTACCTTTAATTTGTTTTTATGTCTCTAAAAAGATAAAACATTTTTGTCTGAATAAGGATTATTTATAATAATGAACACTTTTCTGGATCAATACCTCCAATTGCATACATCATACATTGCATTTCTTGCATTTTATATTTCATGTTTGTTTATTTTATGTTTTCCATGTTTTTACATTCATATTAACTAACAGAACATGTCTCAGACACCGAGCTTACCACCACAAGCATCAGATACA